CATATGCTTATGGGTGGGAAAGGACTCACTCTGCTGATCAGCTGCAAGATATATACAAGGATTTAGCGGACGGTGAAGAGGCAAAAGGCGAGAAGGATGCTGTGTCCATTGCAGGAAGAATCGTGGCTCGCAGAGCGTTTGGAAAGCTTGCATTTTTGACACTGAGGGACGATTCCGGCACAATTCAGGTTAGGAAAGCTTGCATTGTTATAATATTCATGTCTTAACATGTTTGCAAATATTGATTGGCTATATCTCATTCCTCGTTTCTTTTGAAAAAACGCACTTTTAATTACCGTTTAAGTGAAACGAAACGAGCACTTCGATAAGCTGTGAGTGAAGTTATGGACATTTGGTTTCAGCTTTATTGTGAAAAGGAACGGCTTGCAGACGAACAATTTGATCAGCTAAAGGCACTTGTTGATATTGGTGATATAGTTGGTGCTAGTGGATCCATCAAACGGACAGATAAAGGTAACTTATTTCATGTTTCTTGTTTATAAGTAGTTGCTAAGCTTCACTGATAGGAGAAATGGCTTCCATAATAAAACGAACAAATATTATACCTGAGTTATGGATTAGTTGCTAGATAAAAGTAAAAGCCTTTTACTATTTGCGAATTTCCATTGGTTAATTATGTTAAACCTACCAACAAGTTTCATGCTTGTCTAGAAAGAGGTTATATTTGCTTCAAGGTCCTGCAAAGAAAGCTAACGAACATTCCTGGTTAATTCCTCAGGGGAGCTTTCGATTTATGTGAATTCTTTTGCAATTCTTACAAAATCTCTACTCCCGCTGCCAGACAAGTATCATGGTCTTACAGATGTGGACAAGCGCTACCGTCAACGGTGAGTTGATATTTTCTTTTTGAGTATTACCTTTTTTATGTCTAGACATTATACAGAAATCTTTCTTTCCTCCTGTATATGATAAATAGATGTGAAAATTTTGGTTTACTTACAGGTTTATAATTCTTTTTGTTTGTTGTGTCGTATTTTCCTATTAATATTTAGGTATGTAGATATGATTGCTAATCCTGAGGTAGCCGATGTATTCCGGAAAAGAGCAAAGGTAAATCATTCCTCTTCTCTCCTTATCAGAAAACAATTAAAACCTACTAGATTTTTTAGATGTTCCTTTGTATGTTTGATAATTTTAGAACTTACAGTTCCGTTATTGAAAATAATTTAATTTTTGGTTTTACTGATTAGATTATATCAGAGATACGAAAGGCAGTGGAGTCTGATGGTTTCGTTGAGGTTGAAACTCCAGTTCTGCAGGTTTGACAATTTCTCCCAGTCTCATATTTGTTTGGCGCTTTAGATGTTTGATTTGTTAGGCTCTGTTTCTGTGGTTATTTTAGATAGTATATGCTCATATCATACACGTATTCAATTAAAAGCCTGGCTGAAAGTTTTTCCTTGTAAATTGGAACTGAACAACTTGAAGTGGAGTTCATCTTGTGACCATAAAACTTTATATTTTAACAGTATTTTTTAGATGACAATTGACCACTGGCTGTTTAGTCGTTGACTTATTTGTACAGTTAAGAGAGAAATTGCGACTGCACGTAGAGAAATAAATAATTAGTGCAAATCCAAAATGGTCACTGATTAACTTGTTTACATATTCATATCAGTTGGTGATGGTTATGCAAGAAATTGTTACCTGGAGTGATTTTTACAAGTTAAAGAAATACTATTCAATTCCTGGAATATATAATTTCTGATTATTTATATGAATTTATTTTAATATCATATACCTGGAACTTGGTTTTTAATTGATTTGATAAACTAGGGAACAGCTGGTGGAGCGGAAGCTAGGCCATTTGTAACACACCATAATTCACTTGGAAGGGACCTGTATTTGAGAATAGCAACTGAGCTCCACTTAAAGAGAATGCTGGTGAGGACTTTACTTTTGTTAAGAATGCGAATTATTACTGGTTCACAGAAACACTGTCAAAGCTTGGTTTAAGTTTTGTACAGTAGCAAATGATTCACAGCATATTTCATTTCTCTATACTTCTGGGCATATATTACACTTGGATTAAATATTGAAAAGGATCTTTCTATGGATGACAGGTTGGTGGGTTTGAAAAAGTGTATGAGATGGGTCGAATATTCAGGAATGAAGGCATTTCAACTCGTCATAATCCTGAATTTACCACAATAGAGGTAATTAATTATTACTGTCTATTTCAACTCGTCTGAATATACTTTACCAAATTAGCATGGCTGGGTATAGGCTATTATGTATTTAACTTTCTTAGTTTAATCAAGTGAAGCTCTGATCATTATTGGTATTAGTCTAATCTTAGATGTACGAGGCATATTCAGACTATGAAAGCATGATGAACATGGCGGAGGAAATTGTTACACGATGTGCGCTTGCAGTTCATGGGACTCTCACTGTTGATTATCAGGTAAATGCGACTTCACCCAACTTGTGACGGGATTTCTCTGCAGTTCACATTTCTGTGAAAAGCAAGTTGGAAATTACGTGTCCTTATTAGTTAATATATGATATTGAGTTGCTTTTAATACGTTGTAACTGGTATCATATTCTATTCAGGGGGCTGAGATACATCTTGAGCGGCCTTGGAGGAGGGAAACCATGCACAATCTTGTAAAAGAATCCACTGGGATTGATTTTGGTGAGTTGGCCAATGATCTTAAAGTGGCTAAAGAAGTTACTTTGAAAACACTTGGAGTTGACCTTGATCACAAAGACAAAGTTTCTATTGAAGCATGCACATCTACGGGCCACCTTCTTAATGAGGTTGATCTCAATCTACAGTCCATAATTCTTGATCTTGGTTTTATATGTGGATAGACTTATTAGTTTGCTGAGTTATCAATCTGATGGGAGGCTGTTGGTATGAACAGAACAGATTTCAGTGATGAAAATCGGACACTCTTTAAGTGTGGATTTATTATTGTTATTGCTTGGTTCTAGGTTGTCTCCTTTTTTTTTCTGGTCCTAATAATTCATATCTCCAGGTTTTTGAGATTGTTGTAGAATCAAAGCTTTTGCAACCCACATTTGTTTTAGACTATCCTATTGAGATATCTCCTCTGGCCAAGCCACACCGAAGGTATGATACGAACCATGTTGGTTTACATACTACTAGCAATTAGATCACCTTACTCCTGAGTACTTCCAAATTAGAAATGCAGGGTTGACTGAGAGATTTGAGCTTTTCATCTGTGGTCGTGAGCTTGCTAATGCTTTCTCTGAACTGACTGATCCTATGGATCAGGTAATCATGAACCACTGATTGTCTATTTTCACTGCCAATTGTTGTATAGTTCACTAAGTTGGTTTCTATTACAAAGCATAGAGAATTTATGATTGGTGATAAATTTTGGCAGAGAGGACGGTTGGAAGAGCAAGTGAGGCAGCACAATGAGAAGAAAGCGGCAGGTAATTCCGAAACAGATGGTGCAGATGATAAAGGAAAGGAAAAGGATGACTCGTATGAGGTGACTGTTGATGATGATTTCATTACAGCTTTGGAATACGGGATGCCTCCAGCTTCAGGAATGGTACGGTCATTATCCTTCCTTCTGCATCTTTGTAATTTGGGAGAAAATCATAGGAAAACTAATGGGTAGAAGTTGTATATATTTTCAGGGACTTGGAATTGACAGGCTAGTCATGCTTTTAACAAACTCGGCAAGCATTAGAGATGTAATTGCTTTCCCGGTTCTTAAAGTTCATCAATAAGGTCTGAGGCAGCAAGAGGCCCTAGGATGAGTTATAATATTTGAGTTCAAACTGCAACGGGCTTTATTTTTCGTTCATCTATTTCTACCGATGCCCAGTTTAACGGGCAACGGATCGCTTGGTTTGTTACTTGTGGTTCCGCCATTTAATGTTGGAGTTTAGCAGAAGAAGATTAAGGGCTCGTTTGGTTGTGATTTTTAAATGATTTGAAACGTTTTTAAAGAAAATATTTTTGGGTTCTAAAAGTGTTTTTACTGGATTTACTAGTATTTTTACTAAGAATTGTTTTCAAAAATATTTTCATCAAAAGCGTTTTCAGTCATTTTAAAAGCACGTCTAAATGAGCTCGTACTTCTTGGAAAATTACTGATAACGAAGGTGTAGTTATTAACTTCGAAATATATTTTAGGTGGTCTTGTTTTGTTCAGATGATGTACGGATCCGACCATATGAGGGTGTGTCGGTACAATCTCTCTCTCTTTCTCTTTAAAAAAGAAAAGAAAAGGACAGAGATTTCTTTCTTAATTAATTTATGAGAAAAAGAGAGCCAAATTCGTAAAAAAAGAATATGACTAGCGAGCAGTGATATGAGAATACAACTACACAATACGAATAATGGCGATTTGAATCTGACGGCATGATTTCAAAGTTCAATCCTGGGCTGGTCTGATGTCCCCAAATATTAAATTCCATATATTAAATTATGGGGTTTGCATGCATGGACCATATATCTACGAATTATTAATTTAATCACGTGCATGCATGTTACCAATATTCCTTCATTAATCAATCACATCTAACCACAAAAAAAAAAAAGGGGATTAAGGACGACATTCAAGTACATGTATAAGTTATGTCTAAGCATGCCCGATGACTAACGAATCTGAACCTATCAATTGTTCTTTTTCTTCTTTTATATATTTATTAATAACGAAAAAAAATTACATCTAATGAGTGGAGATAAAGTTTTCTTTGCTATTGTAAACAATTCAAACATATCTAATATCATAATTAGTGATTATTCTTTCAAATATTATAAATAATTATATCTATATTGGATTTGTTGTTACCATTTTGTTGTGTAACCCTGATATTATATATAAAGAAGAATTGATTGTAGCCTAGCCTTTTATTTGAGATTACGAGACTCGGGTGGTTGATTATTTGTATTCATAAAATTAACAATGGCAGGCATGAATCCTAACAACACACATAAATAAATAATAAATAAATACATTAATTTTCTATAGAACGATAAGCTTGCCTAATTAAAAAAAAAAATACAATTTGGCATGCCATTTCCACTTGAGAGCATATATTATAAGAGAGAATGATACAAAATATAAGACTAGTATTTGCCTGCCTGACTGATGGTTGGTACTTGCTAATTGGTAATCAAGGGAAAGAAAAGAAGCTTTTGGATTTGGATTTGGATTTGGATTTGAGATAGATAGGGTTGTCGTCATGGGTGCTTTCCTTTCCAGCTAATTAAAATTCCATTATTCAAAGCCTTCCCTTCCCTTTCCTTCGTTTTTGTTCTTTCTTTCTTTCTTTCTAAACTTGCAGACTTTGCTCTCTCATTTCATTTTCTGTTTCTTCTCAACGTTGTCCTTGATGTTCATCATGTTCATGACGGAGGATGTGGAAGTGGAACCCTGAAAGAACAGGGTATCATCGTAATTTCAGTCTCCATAGACATAATTGCTGCTTTCTTTCTGTTCCCTCCCTCTACTTTATAATTTATAAAAGGGCATCCCATTCCCACAAGCATAGGCAGTAGGCAATAAGCAAGCCTCATTTTTTATGCTTTACTTTTTAGGTTGGTTTGTTGAGAGTCTTCTCCTTCTGGTGGGAGGAGTTGGAATCCAACTTCACCGGCCTTCATTTGTAACAGATAGTGCGCGTACGGACGTTGCCAAATTCATACTTTGTCGCATTTTTTGAGAATTGAGATTGGAACTGCAAAATGAGATAATTTGGAACGCAGGCAGGCAGGCACATAGATAGATAGATAATATATATATATATATATATATATATATTTATATTTGATGAGGTTTGCGTCTTGCAAGATTCATTGTCCTCCCTTGATTTGCTTTTGCAAGCCTAATTCCCCTCACATATACACTCCTGGATCAGCTCGAATTACAGAATTCCCCAACTCCACCTCCACCTCCACCTTTGCCTAATTCAAAACTTGCATCAGTTCCTGAGACATCTGATCACTTGGCTGATGAAGAAATCATCAAGGAGGAAAAGTTATTAGGTAATGCGAATCCACAACCATCTACTGCTCAGCCTAGTCTCAAAAGTAGTCTCCGAAAACCCAATTCGGACTCCAGTGCTCCAAAACAGGAGGAACTAAAGAAGACAGTGCAGTGGATAGACATTTTAGGGAAGCAGCTTGTTGACATCAGGGAATTTCAGTGCAGGTACGTGGTCTCTACTCTCTCTCTCTCTCTCTCTCTCTTTCTCTCTCTACCATGCTACTTCATTATTGTACTCAAATTATTTTGCGTTTAGTTTTTCTTTGGGTGGAATTCTTTGATTAATTCTCCAAGATTGACAGCTTCCAATTTCTGAAAATATGTAGAAAATCCTACATCAGAATTCAGAATTCAGAATTCACACATGATGCTTGATCTTGGTTTTCTTTCTGAATGTTAAGTAGGTCAGAAAACATCATAAACTACTGTATCTGAAAAGAGAGAAATTTCTACGAGTTCTGGTTGGAAAATTTGGATCGTTTCTCCTTTTTGGTCCAAGTGTAGCATTCATGTGAAAGTTGAAACCAAACATGTGCATTCAGTGATGTTTTATCTATAATACAACACAGTATGGATTACCACGCTCAATATGCAATGCGCAATTGTGCATGCCTCAGTTTCTACATCCCCTTGAAATACCGATTCTTTTCTGCTTTTCATCTTATTATGCTTACTAATGCCTTTCAAATTTGGTTTTGGTTTCTCACCTAATCACTGCGTGATTCGTGTTTCTTCAATAGTGAACTAGAAGATACAGACAATGAAAACGAGAACAGAAGAGGCTGTGTTTGCATTATTTTATGAAACTTCTCGATTAGCGTCCGCTCTGCAAATTCCAAAGGAAATCACAGCAATTCCAGGAGAGAAAGAAAGGAAAATTCATGTTCTTCATGCGATGAGTCTAAAATTGAATGGCACTCAGGTGTTTGAAATTCAGTTTTAGTCCATTTCACGTTACCAAATTACAGCGTAGCTGCAGCTCTCACAGGACTGTTTTATGCACTCAAGAGAGTCACTTTTCGTTTATGAGAATGTTAACAACATTGCATTCTTTTGATTATGAAACTTCTCACAAGTTCAGACACAGGATCGGGAACAGACCAATCATCCATTCATGCGCAGCCGTTACTTTGTAATCGCCGGGGCTTACATAGATCCAGGGGCCAGGAACACCGTATTTATACTTGATAAAGTTGTTTTTTCATTTAGATGGTTAATGCTTCAGCGGAGGTGCCCTGAAAAATGATTAAGATGCAATAATATTTGTAAACACAAAAGCAATCGACACTCCTGTCATTAGATTATGTATACGAAACTTTTTGTTACCCTTTTAAGTTTCTTTCTATCTTCAATTCTTGCAAATTACAAACAGAAGATTCTCATCGGAGAAAAAGATTGAAGCAAGCAAGAATAGAGAAAAAATATCTTCCAAACTCATCCAAATCTAATGCCATGAACAAATTGATATTAGCGAAACTGATCTGTCTGAAGCACGAGATAGCTGATGGCTCAATCAATCCCTTCGTTGACTTGCCGTTAAGCTCAAATGCAGACCAGCTCAAGTCCTTTTAGCTTTTGAAGTAGCTCATTGCTCTATTTCTTGTCGAAAATGCCAAATATAGATTTTATGGCGTTGATGGCATTTTCGTTGATGAATGATTCGTCAAATCTTTTCAATAGAGGATCAAAAGCCTCAGCTTTTCTTACATTCTCTAGGTCAGGATCAGTCCGAATTCTCTGTTGACAGTAATAGTAATAAATTCCATAAGAAGCTCTATGAAATAAACCATGGTATTCTCAAATATAGGTACGTTACCTTGAAGTCTTCAAATCCAGCTTTCAGGGCATCCTCAAGTGCAGAGATCCCAGCTTGTATCTATATAAAGAATTACAATATAAACAAATCAGTTAGTTGATCACAACATTGATTACAAAAGAGAGAATCCTTCACAATTTATTTAACCTGACAACAACGTCAGCTGTAGAAGGATAAATCAAAATCTAGTTAAAATGGCCAAACCTTTGAACGCCAAAACCAAGGGAAATGTTGAAACCGAAGCACATATTAATCGTAATGATAGTATTCTTATTGGAAATACCTGATTAAGCTTAGAATAACAACAAGAAACATTGTAACTTGCCACTGAAGCTTCATCTAACTCAGGTTTTGATCCTAGCACAGATTCAAATTTCTCCAATGCTTCCTCATATTTCCCGCCCCTTTTTCAACCAATAAAAGGACAACGGAAAAGAATGTTGTAAGTGAGATCAACCTCCGGTTATCTGAAGTTTAGACTTCATCCGAGGTCATAATGAAGAAAAAACTTGGCTAAATGGAAGCAAACTGAACCTTTTAACTTTCCTTATCAAAGAAAGATGAAGAAGGAGAGAACATGCAATAAATATAAGATCAAGCTGCATACTTATAAAGCTGGAGGCCTTGTCGAAGGTCACTTTCTCTCTGCGCCTTTTGTTCCTTTTTCCTCAGGTAGTTTTGCATCTGAAGTCATTTTACATACAAACATATAGAGACTACATTGGAGTCCATTTCTAGAAATATCTTCTTAAACAAGAAGAAACAATTCAGCATTATTTGTGTTCGCAACTGGAACAATGATTCACTTACTTGGATATCCCTCAATCTTCCGCTAATTACACCAGAATTCCTCTCAGCTCTGATAATCTCCTTTTCTGTTAATTCACCTGAAGTATCTAAATTGCCTGGAAAGAAACAAAATTTCCAAAAACCTCAGACAATGTTACAAAAGATTGATTTAAGAGGTAGGAGCTTTGGACTTGAATGAATTATGAGTATTTTAGTCGCGATAACAAGTACAAACAAGGCAGATAGAATGAGCTAACCGTATCTCTTCTGCATTCGCATGAGAAGTGGACCGATCCTCTGGCGAATGGTGTACATTGTCCTCCCATACTCGGCAGCAGGCCATATTTCATCCCCAAAAACTGCACTGCATGGATAGAACTCTTTGATCACATTGCCAACACAGGCAATCATCGGTAGTTTTTTGCATATCCATAAATAACTCATCAAAAGAGCAAAAAGAAAAATTTATGCACGTGCCAAACTACGATTGCTTTAAGAACAATATGTGAAAGTCATGATATTCCCTTAGGCTATAATACTTAACCTTCAAAATCATAAATACAATGCTACAAACAATTAGAAGGGACACTAACTAGAACGTATTATATGAGTTTAATCACAAATGGAACTGGAATGACACTAAATCGACAATTGATATCGTATAAAAACCACAGTTTAGTGTCCCTTTATTGATATATTATTGTCCCTCGGATTCCATTTCAATTAAAAGCTGGTAACCAATTTCATTTGAGTGTATATATATTTCCGGATAAATTTTCAGAAATATGCAAAGAAAGAGTCATGCTGTTCAACAATCATACAAATAAAGCCACCGAAATTAGAAGGGGAAGAAAGGATTAGATAACAACCTTGTGGCAACAACTTTATCGCCAACGGTGAACTTGCCAGTTTTGTCAGCAAATCCACCGGGCGCAATGGCATCAATGTAAGTTCCGCCGTCTCGGCCCTTGGAGAATTTCAGCCCGTAAGGCTGCACCAGTTCCACCTCATACTCTTCATATGCTTCTGGTTTTCCTTTTTCCTCTCCTCCTCCTTCACTTCCACTCTCTGCTGGTTTCGACTCAGTTTCCGATGCTTTTACGACGAAAACAGACAGTCTTACCAAATGGGTGTTGATAAAACAGCTTGAAGTGCTCAGACCAGAGAAATTCTTGGTCGGAGAAAACATAAGTGGGTGGTACTTGTTCTGCTGCTTGGTCAAAGCACTTGTTGGTGGCAATGGCGGTGAAGAACAGAGAGACAGGTGACTTGTTGAAGCCAAAGACATTGTCTTCTGTTTTTGTTTAAGCGGAAATTAAAGTACAGGAGAAGAAGATGAAGATGTTGGAGTTGCTGAAGGGATGTGGGACGGAAATTCCGTTTGTTTGGTCTCAAAGAGAAAGCTTTTGGATTACAGCGAGTCCATGACTAGTGGCCCTAATAGGCTCGTCTTCAGTTCAAGGATGTCATGACACGTGTTACTTATATGGGTGGTTGCCAAGAAATTTTTTTTTATTGTGAAGGGAACATGAGTGGTACATCACGTGTTTTTATGTAAGTGATGGAAAATTTTATTTTTTAAGTTATTAACTTTTTAATACATATATTCTATCATTTGTATAATAATATATGGTGTAACTCGTGTACCGATCACATTAAAAAATCTTTTGTTGCCAAGGAAATCTAATGGTATGACTTCTGTGTTACTGCAGAAACAAAGTAGTTGTGCACCATGCAACTTTAATTGTGAATACAATCATTGCAAACTTTCAATTAAAAAATAAAAATTATCATTAGCATTCTAAACTTTTTATAATTAGAAAGGAAAATACATTTGTATGTAGTGTAGTATGAGATTTTTGAAATGCTAATAACAATTCCCAAAAAATAAAACTGTGAAACGCATATGTGAATTACAGTTTAGTGTCGTTGAGATTATATGTATATTACAACATAACTCCAAACATATTAATAAAAAATGGTTCAAACCCTTGAATCCAATGAAACATTAACATGTCTTATAATTTCATAGGACAGCATCTTATTGTGTGAGTGTTGTAATAACGGCTCGAAAATTAGTAGCAAAAGGAAGACATACATTAGTATTAGAATAGCTATAGTTAACGAAAAATCATCAATTAATGGGATTTATTATATGTACTTAAAATTCTTATTTTGCACTTTAAATTTTTTATATTTAGAAAAAAAAATGCATTTATAAGAAGTGTAAAATAAAACTTTTATAGTACCATTAACAATTTTCTTATTAAATACTAAACAATAACACGGTGTTTCTGAACGAATACTAATAAACAACAAAAACACAGATGAAGCACGTTGGCAGTAATAATCTATAGGTGTAAGATACACATTGCTCCATCTTCCACTTCCAACCATGGTACAGTTTCCCCATAGCTCAAACAGGTCTACATCTTCATCTTCACATATTCCCTTTTATTCCTACGCAAAAACAAACGGGACAAAAACGAATCTGCTAATCTACAAGCATATCGATCTGGTGACATGCTGCGAGATTTGCCCTGACATTGTCAAAACCTGTTGAGGAAGAAAACACAAAGATTAAGACTCAATTTCCATCTACATCTGTTCAAAACTAAAACCATTAAGCCCTATATAAAGCTTTCTTCACCTGCTTATTGCAGATTTACAGGAACTCTCTGAACGAATTAAAACCTACAACGTGGAAGAAAGAAAATCGTATAAGCTCGAATGCTGTGTCAGAGTGAAAATGGGTTAAGCTTGAATGCTATGTCAAAGAAGAAGATATTGTAGCAAAATACCAATAGTTTATTTCTTCAAAATGTTGCTAGAGAGGATTTTCTTCCCATAAGGACTGGTCCGAAGAACAGGCATGTGAGGTTTTATTGCATCCACCAACTTAGAATGAAGGATTCCCTGCTCAAACAGCAAAGAGAATTTCTGAAGGGCAAGCATAGAAGAACCTCATCATTGCCACGATGAAAAATAACTTGGAAAATTGATTTGATCACTTCACTTCTTATATTTTGTTGTTAAATGCAGATCTCTTAATTTAATTGTTCTTTCGTAAAGGAACACGAATTTCATTTAAACCACAAGACAGAATGTAAGATGGAGTATAATACTTACCTTTGACTGACTAAGCGCTGCTTGGACAACATAATTTCCATAAGGGTCTTGCATGACTTGATCCAAGCGCGGATTTTCTATCAGCTCCTGGATAATGCGTATTCGCCACTCTTCACATGCATATTTCAGGCTTTTCTCAACCACATTACTGCTATACTTCTGCACAGACAAATCCCCATAATTACCTTCCAACTGGTCAAGAATATCTAAAGTTGCCCACGGAAGCTGAAGTTCAAAGACAAATTGCACAACATAGTTCCTGCAAACAAAAAATGACGCAGATATCACGCCATGCTTTTAATGTATTAAATCAAGGACGTTGAAAAGAAAGGGGTAAAAATAGAGTACCCAAATGGATCTTGAGAAAGGATTAGTGCATTTGAAGTAATCTCGCAGATTAATCGGTTTCTTTGTTCAGCATCCGAATGGCTAAGGCATTTTTGTAGCACACAACAACCATGGCGGTCAGTTGCAAGCTCTACACAGTTAGTAGTTGCAGCTACGAAAAGAAACTGCAAAAGAAATCATTGCCATCTTTCATTCCGTGATACATGATTTAATGAATTCACAAACTGATTCATGTCGTAAGGTAATCTGAATTAAACCAAGTGACAACAAATAAGAAGATATATAAATAAGATATCACGCTTGCAACATTGCACAGAGATAGTAAACATCTCCACATCAGCAACATCCATGTACTCATAATCTTCAAAAATCATTCAATGTACTATATGTTTTACCTCACGATATTCACGTGTTAAATACTGTAAGCAGCGCTGTGCAACATGATTTCCATTTGTGTTCTTTATCAACATCACTATCCCTGGCTTTAGCGATGAAACAACCATGGAAAACTGCTCTGGAGTTTTGAGGGTTTCAATGACCTTTTGAACAGCTCGAGTCCTGTGGTTGGGAAGAACCCCAATTTTATCATATCAAAATATAGAAAAAATGCAGCAGAGAGATTATAACTCAAACACATGCACAAGCGAGCGAGTGCACACACCCACCCACCCACACACACAGATATATATATATATATATATATACACACAGAGAGAGAGAGAGAGAGAGAGAGAGAGAGAGAGAGAGGGCAAACCCATGCATATCACATGAAATCCTAACAAGTTCCCCTGGTTTTTTAGTGATTGAATGAAGAATTTGCATTTGCTGATCCTCATCACACACTTCAAGCAGCTTCTGGATGAGGTAATTCCCAAAAGGGTCTGTCATGAGCTCAACAATGTGATCAATGATCTCAAAGAAAATATTTTCGACATCTTTTGGGGTGCCTTCAGAAAACTTTCTTTGTAAGAAGCGGCAACCATGCTGGTCCTTAGCCATTAGATAAATTCTTCCAGTAATTTCATCCATGGAGTTATATTTCTGAGGCAATGTCTTCAGATCAGTATATTTCTGAGGTAGCACCTTCATATCTGTATTCTTAAGATGCATTAAACTAGGGAACATACCCCATGTGTTCAAACTATCCAATTGAAAGCATCCGGTATTTCGAGTAGATAAGGCATGCCGGAAATGACCATTCGAGACAACTTTGCCATTCTGGCTAATATGAGTAAGTGATTCATCTGTTCCAACAGAACCAAACCTCACAGCTTTTAGTGTGTTCATTCCCTGTGATCTTGTTAGAATCTTCTTAGGAAAACTCTGCTTTCCCACCTTGTCAAGAAATTGAACCTCGTTAAAATCTGTGTACGAAAGAGCAGGATTCGATTCGTGTGGACCCCTGGGAACCACATAATTGTTCCAGATTCGTTCTTGATTAGATTGTTCAAGCCGATGAGAGATTGGCACCTCAAAATGGGGGTGCCTCGGGTTTGGACGCGTGAGCCTGCTTGCGATATTCCCATTCCCTTGAACCAGATGCTGAGCTTCCAACCGCTGATCATGAAGCTGCTGCAAGTATACATATTGCTGCTGCATCCTATGGTATTGCTCCTCTTCCATGTTTCTCCAGCTAATTTGATTCTGGTTTAACTGTTGCGAATGTAGGTAAGGAATATTAGATTGTGCATCAAGAAAGAATTGCTGCTGATGATCAGAAGTTACAGGAAACTGCAGACCAGGAGCAGGCACATTAGAGAGGAACTGAAAACCTTCCACAGCATGAGCTAGAGGAACACCAGGAGATAAATTTTCAATAGGTTGTGAATAGGCAGCCTGCGGTTTCTTAAGCTCTTCAGAATTGAACTTTGACATGTTTGAACTTTCTTGGCCTGAGTTTGTCACATCAAACTCATAAAATCCACAAGGTATCTTATTTGGTGCTTGGAAAGAGGGAACAACCATGACCGGCGTATCCATGCTCGAAACCTGCATCTTTAAGCTGTTTGGGATTTGTCCATCCATTGAAAAGTAGTTCTGCAAGGATTTACAATTTTCGACATGACTCCCAGCTTCCATATTCACTGCGCCATTGAAGCTCAGTCCTGCGAGTGCAGACGTTAAGGATTGATCATCGGGCAGATTTGTTACCTCTCGTTGAACCCTTTTCACAGGTGATTTCTGAATTTTCTTTGCCGAGTTCTTCCCCTCATCCAACCTCCCATTGTTATGGAGTTTGTCACTCAATGGCCCCTTGCAGGAGTTCACACAGATAGGAGACAATGACGCATTCTTTGTTCCAGATTCCTCAGAATGTGTGTTCCCAGAAGTAGCATTTGGTATCTCGCCCAGAAGCTTTTCAAATTCATCAAACTCTAGTTCAGTTCTTCCTTCTTCCATGTCGTATTCGCAGTCCGTTTAACAAATTCACTCTGCCAGACAGAGCAAGCACTAGCTGGCAAGCAAATTCCCAAGATAAACCCTTCAATCCAGCAAGAATTTATATATTACAGCTCAAAATAAACACAAATGACATTATTACAAAAATCAGTAAGTACAAAACCAACACACTTAAAACTATCAACTTCAAGACATAATCCTACAATATTTATGCAAAATAACCCACATTTTACGAACACAAACCACACCAGAATTCCAATTTGAAATGACAAAACACTTCAATCTGATAAAATTCCTCCTACTAGAGAAATTGATCATTAAAATAAACCAGTTTTATAACTTTTTATTTTATATTTTAATTGTTTTTTAAATAAGGACTACATTCCATTAGACAAAAAAAAAAGTACCGATCAATCAAGGCCGTTATGTCAGCTCTCAGTCCAGAAACAGAGTCCACACAATGCATGAAAACGATGAGGATCATCACATATTTTCAACAAAATTAATTTAATAGAAAAAAAAAATATTTTTCTCCATTTTACGTGCAAAACAGAGAAAATGGATGATCAATCCGATTGCTTTGAATTGTTCCCATCAAATAAAAAGGAGAAAGAAACATACCCGAATACCCGAATTCGATAGCTGATCGAATGTGGGTTTTAGCTGATCAAATGTGAGAAAACCCAGATGATCCTGATCATCAAGACGCCAAATTTATAATTCAGTATCACAAGAATATCGCAACTTCACAATCAATATATCAAAAATAGAAAAAGGCAGGAATATCAGGTGCGGGTTAACATAACAAAAGAACAATGCAGAAGAAAAGGAACCCAATAAAGTAATGCAAGCAAAAGAAGAAAGAGGAGGGAGAGAGAGAGAGAGAGAGAGAGACGTACGGGGGAGAAGTGAAAAAAAAAGGGCAATGAGGGTGGCAGTAGAGAATCGGAGTGAGAGAGAAAACAGAGGCATATACAGAGTGTGTTGGACAGAGAATTGGAGAAGAGAAAGAGGGTGTTTTGGGGAAATTAAAGGCAATCGGGAGTGCAAGGGGAGTGACAGTGTGTGTTAATAAGTGTTGTTGGTCTTGGTGAGGTGAGAGAGGAATTGAGGAATGAGGAATGGAGAGGAGAGGAGGAGTGAGAGAGAATGAGGCGGCGTCAAGTAGAAGAGAGAAGTTTTCAATACTCTGAAAGATTAAAAAAGGAGAAAGAGATGGCCATTTGGCAAACACCACCCACTCCAATCCCCATATTTGCCATTTTCATGCATAAATTGGACGAAAAATAGAAAAATGGGAAATGTGGGAATGGAACGCTTCTTATTCTTGTTTGGTTTTCGGTATGTTATATCCCACGTTACCTGTTCTATGTATCGTCTCATCTGCCCTCCTCTCTAGTCACTCTCACTCGCTTTGTTTTGTGTAATGTGCTGATTATATTGGCTTCCTTTTTCTTCTTCAATGAAAACAGACATTAAGACTTGACCGTCTTTTAATTCTAGCTTTTTAATGTCATTCTAGTACACTTGAAAGGAGATTTAAACTCAAGTTTAAGAGGACAAGCATATTGGTCTGATCAATTCACATATGTTGCTGCTATGTTGTTGCTTTGTTCAACGTTTACAATTATCTATTAAAAACTACAAAGTGAAACACAAAAGCAAAATAAAAACCTCGTAGTTGTTGAAGTGGGCTATCCCACACCATTTCATCCACACTCCTAAGAGTAAGAGATTACGCGTGAGTGAAAACATATAGATATTGTATCTTTTTCTTGGTGTGTCAATCTGTTACATAATTTTGTACATTTCTCTAAATATTATACATTATAAATTGACAATGTCATACTCTACCTGCCTTTATTGCCTTAGCTTTTTGTTCAATTAAGGAAAAGGGAGCCCATCGCCACAAATACCAAGCAAGCTTTGGGTTCACATTACATTAGTGTATACACCTACTAGCTACTTCATTCATCTTTATTATCTAGCTTTCTGCTTGGAAATTATACACATGTGAAACCTTGAATATTTTTTTCTCAACGGGTAAAAATAAGGCTGTAAAAATTAAAATATTATTAACAATAGCATTGAAGTTGAAGAGAAGGGTGGCCATATCAAAATATTTGATTTGATACGTATACGTGGCCATATCAAAAGGATAGAACTTCGCTACTGAAAGATCAGCACCTGCTGCTTACAACCAATCATGGCTGGACACGTGTCCAACCGTGATTGATCGTAAGCAGGAGCTACGGCTGATCTTTCAGCAGCCAAGTCTAGTTCATATCAAAATATTCGATTGGATACGTATACGTGGCCCCAAAAGCATGTAATTGAGAGAGAGATAGACTGATTGACTAACTAAAGTTTAGTTGGAACAGTGAGGTGGCGAGATGTTCGGATCGTCATTAACCGTTTACTGTTGTAGCGGTAATTCATGTACGGATCACTTTTACATCCTCCCTTCCATAACGTCTTCCTTGTATAATTAATTACTCTTCATTTCTGTATTAAATCCTCACCATATATTTAAAACTTAAAAGATGTAGATTAGCGAGTAAAAAGTAGTTTGACCAAAAACAAGTCAGCAAACAAGTAAAAGTTATTAAGGGGTGTTTCGATAACTCGCACAAACATAGGATGGTTTGTTAAGCATTAAGTTCTGTTATTTTTAATTCTTTAGCTTTAACTTTGATTTAGTAGTTACGATTGTTTTGATTTGAATTCTGTAAATATTTTACTAACACCTACAACTTAATTCCGTCAAATTTTCAACAAAATTAACAAGGGGCATGCGTGTGAGGTTTTTTACATCTTAAAACAAGACCAAATCATTTATAACAAGAAGTTAATGTCTACCAAAAGCAAGAAGTACATTGAAACAACTTACGGAGATTAAAGTGAAACTGGATTGAAACTACAAAGACAAAATAATGCATGCTCTTCTTTTCCCCATCCAATATTTATTGCTTTTCCATTTCCAAGCAACTGGAGTTACGTAGGGTTGGAGGAATACCATACCCATTCACTGCACTAGGTATTGTATATCTAGAGTCCATTATACCGCTCTAAACTTAATAACATGATAAATACACCAACCGAATCACCCAATACACCATTAAATGCGTCTTATCAGTCACGAACCCCATTCAAATTATTTGGCCGACGCCTAACCATTCTCTTTTACTCCGTTGAGCTTCTTTTCCTCTTTTTGACGTAATTCAATGTAAAAGTCTCATCAATAACTTGAGAAATTTTTCATTATAACGAAAACACAAATAGCATACTACGTGTTTTAATAGAAATGATGGAAAACTTTATTTTTTAAGTTATTAACTCTTTAGCACACATATCTCACTATTTATATAATATCATATTGTGTACCAACCCGTATACCGATCGTACTAAAAAATCCCTCCAATAGCTCAAACAATACTTAACTGAGAATACAAACACTCTTGGCACGAAAATTTCTTCCGTTCAAATTATATTTGCAGTGATTGCTACACTGAACAGGTTTCAACATCTGCAGCACTCCGGTGAGCTATTCTCACCTGAATCTTTTATGCATACAAAAATTTCTTCCATTCAAATACTATCATTCTAAAAACTTGATGCCACCCTCTAGGGTCTAGGATTCTAGGTTGACCTTGTTTGCTCCGCTTCCTCACACCGTACTCACTCTCCGATCAACTTTAGTAACCGTAGCCTGTCACAACATGAGCAAGAAGTTGGCAATTTGCATTTTGACAAGACAAAAGTGGAATAGAGAGCACTAGATTATCTGCAAACCTGAGTTGTCCATGGGGTTGCCGGCGGGCACTGCTGGTTCTGGCTCTTTAATCTCAACAACTACACAGTCTGACATTAAGAAAGTTTTCGCAACAGAGGATGCATGCTCCAGGCAACATCTCACCACCTGAACAATAAAAGGAATCAAAATTTTGGTAAATTATGTGCATGAGATTTCAATTTTATTTGTGGAAATCCATGATTGCTCTAACGCAGATTCTGTACAGAAACCCACCTTGGTTGGATCAATGATTCCAGCAGCCATTAAATCTTCATAGTTTCCAGTGGCAGCATTGTATCCATACTTGGGATTGTCATTTGAAAGCACCTGAAAAAGGAGACTCCAAATTTATTAAAACAAACATAGCATTCAGAAAGTAAGCGTATTCCACATTGAGGCAAACGAAACAATACCTTCTCACTGACAACACTTCCATTTACACCAGCATTCTTGGCAATTAATTTCAGAGGGTAACTAAGAGCTCTTCTAACAATATCTGCTCCAACCTGCAATTACCATTTGATTTGAGCCAATATTCAATAGAATTCGGTCATAATGAGAACCCTCTTCTGAGTCATACCCCAAAAGATAGGGTGAGCTTAACAATCGACGATACGTTACCTTTTCTTCATCATTATCAAGAGTATCTTTGATTGCGTCAACCTTCGATGCTAACCTCAGAAGTGTGCATCCACCTCCAACAACAATACCTTCCTCAACAGCTGCCTGGACAATTACCAACGTTTTAAATTTTAATGGTGCTTTAATGCGCCAAAGATCAGATGAAAGAAAACAAGTATTTAATATGAAAATATTAGTTTGAGTTGCGTTACCTTCGTTGCATTCAGAGCATCTTCGACCCTCAGTTTCTTTTCTTTCAGCTCTGTCTCAGTTTGTGCTCCAACCTTGGGAGAATTCAAGAAAAAGTTAATACAAATGAATTACAATTCGCATGCATCATAATCCAAATTGTCTACACGTGTAAATAGAAACTTACCTGTATAACAGCAACACCACCAGATAGTTTTGCAATCCTTTCATTTAGCTTTTCTCTTTCATAGTCCTGCTCTGCCGCCTGCATTAATGTTTAACTTGTTAAGACTATAAGACTATAAAGAATGACAAACGTCCATAAGCATTTTCTAGAGAAGGAGAAAAGAGGGTTTCACCTCAATGAGGTTCTTAATTTGGGCAACTCGCTTGTTAACTGCTTCCTGGGTACTTCCATCACCAACAATTGTGGAGCTATCCTTTGTAAGAACCACTTTCGAAGCATGGCCAAGGACCTCCTTTCCAGCATTCTCTAATGTGAGTCCTACCTCCTCTCTGATAACAGTTCCTATAAGCAAATTAATAGTATCTCAATATCACATTACAAACAGAAAATAATAAAGGAGACTCTTAGGTTACACCAGCCCTCTATTCAAACAGGAGGAAGAACTATACCATTAGCACACACGACACCTAGGCAAAGAGTTGAGACCAAAAAATGATAGACGTAAAAGTACCTCCAGTTAGAATAGCAATATCATCAAGGTACTGGCTCTTGCGATCACCAAACCCGGGAGCTTTAAGGGCAGCAATCTTAAGAGCTCCTCTTAGCTTGTTTACAACAAGAGTTGCAAGAGCTTCTTGTTCAATGTCTTCTGCAATGATTACAACTGGGTATCCTCCTCTAATAGCATCCTCCAAAATGTTAATAAGGTCCCTTGCATTTGTAATTTTTTTATCAACAAGAAGCAACTGCACACAACCCACTCTTGCATTAGGAGGCACAAATAACACATTGAAAATTAAGCTTTCATCACCCAGGGAAAGACGACAAGTTACCTTGCAGTTCTCATATTCAACTGCCATTTTCTCGCTGTCAGTGACAAAGTAAGGCGAGATATAACCACGATCGAATTGCATTCCTTCAACAACGTATAGGCTGTTCTCAGCGCTCTTTCCCTCTTCAAGGGTCACCACACCTTTCCTACCCACCTTGCTCAAAGCTTCGGCAATCATGTTTCCTACTTCATAGTTGTTTCCTGCACTAACAGCTGCCACATCTGCCAGTTCACTGTCTTCAACCTGCAATGAGTTGTAAACTTTTCTTGTTCTGAGGAGATTTAAGGAATGTGAAGCAATGCAAAGAAACAAAGGAAATCATAACGCTAGCACCACATGGTCGATGGTTGAGACTGAAATAAATCAGAAAACAATTTACACTACCTCTTTGGAGATCAACTTAAGCTCATTTACTAGAGCTCTGGTGGTCTTTTCAATGCCACGTGTGATTAAAACCGGGTTTGCCCCAGCTGCAACCACCTGAACAATTGAACTCAATTAACAGAAGTTTTCACACAAACTCTCCCAACAAAATGCAATCAGAAAGACCATGGTACAAACCTTGACACCTTCAGCAATAAGACCTTGTGCAAGGACAACAGAAGTGGTAGTACCATCACCAGCTAGGTCATTAGTCTTGGCAGCTGCCTGTCTCACTAACTTAGCCCCAATGTTCTCAACAGGGTCCTCCAACTCAACCT